TCGAGCTATATGTTTCTGCCATAATAGGTTAAGTTATCAGATGATCCCTTAGCAATGGCTGACTTCATTTTTAGCACACTAGACAGTCAATCCAGGGTAGAATCATGATATGTTTTTTGCTAAGTCAAGGATACCTGCCTGTGATTAGGTTAGATGGCAGCATGTTTTATGTAATATTTTTTAGATAATACAGTATTCAGTAAATGATTGTTTTATATTACGTGTTTTAGGTTATTTCACTTCAAGAGATTCTTAATGATTTCACATTCTTCTCTTGGACGAAATCGAAATATCCAATTTCCATGGAACAACTTGGATATTATTATGGTTTTGTTGTCTACAAAACAACAATTTCTGTTCAAAGTGTTGCTATATTGGATGTCCCTGGTGTCCGTGATAGAGGCATTGTCTACTGTGATAGGGTTAGGCTTCATGAAGTTTACCCCATACTATACCACACCCTAGCATATACCATGTCACACCATACCAAATCACACCATACCATGTCACACCATACCATATCACAACAAACAATACCATCACACACCATGCCATAACAAAGCACACCGTATCATATACACCATAGCATACCATACCACATCATAGCATACAACACCAGTTACCATACCACACTATACGATACGATACGATACCACACCAACACAAGAACGACAAGATATATTGGACCGTAGCTAGTGCTGTGCAAACTCCGGTTTTTCATCTCCGGCTCCGGCAGAATTATAGCTCTGAGCTCCGGCTCCGGCTACGGCTACGGCCACATCATAAAATATTAAATAAATGTTTTACGATCAGAGAACATTTGTTAATATTATTATGAATAACCCTTTTCGCGCTTCTTAATTATCAGATAACATAACTCAGGAAACAAAACAGTGAAAACACTTAACCACGCGGAAAATATCTATATGGAAACCAGTCTCGAAAATTTTTTTGACAGTGTTGTAATTTTTATATAGCATGACGCGATGCATGACGCGATGCATGACGCGATGCATGACGCGATGCATGACGCGATGCATGACGCGATGCATGACGCGATGCATGACGCGATGCATGACGCGATGCCTGACGCGATGCATGACGCGATGCATGACGCGATGCATGACGCTAACACTCTCAGACTCCACAGCGCAATTGTTCGCACGCAAACAAAGTACTCTGTCATTTTCAAAAGGTTGATATTTATTTGTTTTGTACTTTTTCGTTATCTACAAGGCATGAATACACAGACTATGTAGTGCTAAGTCAGATGGCTTCATGAAAGCATGACGTTTGTAAGTTGCGATCGTATTACAGCTTTTCGACGCTGTTCCTGCGGGCTGTGGCAGTTTGAGTCTATGATGAATTCATTAACAGCAATTGGCAGTTTGCAGTAACTAACAATCGTTTGACATTTGTCTCATTTCAATTGTTTTCTTGTCATTTTGCCGGAGTTGGGAAAATGTAACTCCGGCTCAGGGCTCCGGCATACAAAATTCTGCTCCGGCTCCGGCGTCGGAAAAACCGCCGGAGCTCCGGCAGAACTCCGGCTCCGGCAACTCCGGCGCACAGCACTAACCGTAGCACACCATACCATATCACAGCATGAATTATTATTACTTCTTCGTGAACTATTATTACTATTTATGATACTTTAGGAGCGACAAGGTATAGTGAATCGTAATGGACCGACAGAGTTGAAAATTGACGCTAAAAGTTGTGAAAATCTTATTATTCTTGTCGAAAACCAAGGACGAATCAATGCTGGCAGGAAAATGACTGATCCCAAGGGAATGATAAAAAATGTTACCTTAAATAAGGAAATTCTAGCAAACTGGGAGGTTGCACCATTTTTGCCTATGACATTTTCTGAAAGCAACAAAATGGAACTGTTCGACAAAATGGAACTGTTCGACAACGGCGATCCACAGGGGGTGTATATTGGTAGTATTCCGCGGTTGCAAACTCCTCAAGATTCTTATCTTTTGTTAAAAGGATGGAGTAAGGTATACATTTCTTTTCATTTGTACGTATCATTATTGACGCAGTTGTTCAACAACTATATAGTAATTGTGGAAAACCTTTCTCGAATAATGTATTAATAATTTTTCTGTTACCGTAGCCACAATAAAGACTGCATGCATATACCGATTCAAGGTAGTAATGAACAGTTTCTTTCAATTAGGCTGAAGATTATGTAGATTAAATCGAAAATTTGCAACCTTAAATATGTTTTTATTAAATCAAAACATGATTTTTAAACTCTCGATTTTCGGACTAGCAATCATTTTGTTGTTAGTAAATAAATAGTTAGCACAGGTGTATATACATACTCTCTATTAGGATTTGTTTGCCACGTTGTCCAACTGTAGTTAACGATTTTGTTAAATTATGTACTATAATATATTAACGATAACCATTGCTAAAATGGGTTGTTTCAATATTTTAGTAAAATTGCAACTTGCAATATGACTAGCAATAATAAACGACATTATTTAATTAATGGCATGCATGCTCTCTATTAGGATTTGTTTGCCACCTTGTCCAACTGTAGTTAAGTTATGTACTATTAACGATAACATACGATGTTCATCATCGATCCGCTGACTTACTTAGAAACTCAAATTGGAAACCTCTAGAAGTAAGACGAAATTACTTTAAAAGCTATTTATCTCAATCTCGTACTCAGAGGCAGAGTACTCTGGGTACGAGATTGTTTTTATGCATAAAATTCTAAATTACCACACCGCACCCAAACTACAGTAAAACAAGTTTTTCTTTCCAATATAAGGAAAGAGCAAATACTTACAATCTTAGAGATAAAGAAACTGATTTATTAGCTCTTCCTAATTCGAAGAAACAATTCGGCAAGAGGTGCTTCAATTATAAAGGAGCCTCACATTGGAATAATCTTCCCCACGAGGCAAAAATTGCGGATTCCTTAAGGTCTTTCAAAACGAAACAAAAATGAGTTGAAACAGGCTCGTTAGCCATGCAATTTAGTAATGTAGCTAACAGTGTCTTTTCTTTGGGTTTTTTTTGTCAAACTCTCCTTTTTAATATTTTGTAAATAGCTTAAATGTTCACGCCCCCATCGATGATGGAAATCAGCCGCTGAAAGGTTGTTGGGACCAGCGTGAGAAAATAATGTCTATGTTTGTACATGCAGTGTATGCTGCTCATGGTTGCTGAAGGAAAAGAAAACAACAACAAAGCAATTATATATACATATACTCGTTACATGCGGATAAACTGTTTAATATTTAACAAATATAAAACATTTTCCGTGTTGATATACAGTTATATCAACACGAGTGGAAATTGGGAAAACGAGAAATTGTGTGGAAACACGACGCCCGAAGGGCGGAGTGTTTTCACACAATTTCGAGTTTTCCCAACTTCCACGAGTGTTGATATAACTATATATCAATACGGAAAAATGTTTTATATTTGTTTTATAATATAGAAATGTCAAAAGCCCGAAGAATAAGAAAAATTTCCGTGTTACAAGCGGCGGAAAATTTCCCGTGTTGACATGGAGTTATATCAACACGGCTCTTAGCCAATCAGCGTTCAGAATTTACAAATGTTATCTTATAAAATTTGGTGATGATCATGATGTTGAACGCTCATAACGTGCAACTAAGACCTGTATTTTATGTTTCAGGGTCAAGTCTATATTAATGGCTTCAATCTTGGACGTTATTGGCCAGTTGAAGGTCCTCAAATAACTTTATATGTTCCAGCAAATATCCTTCGTAATTATACTCCTAATGATATTGTAGTCTTAGAGATGGATAAAGCACCGTGTTTGACATCATCCTCATGTTATGTCGAGTTTGTTACTACACCAATATTGAATGGAACTGTCCCAACTGTTTATCACTGAATTGGAACCTATATGCAACAGTTGAAAGTGAACACGAAAGTTTTACATGCCCATTGTGGAAACCAGCGTGGTTAAATAAAGTTATTTAGCGTGATTAAATAAAGTCATCATCAACAATATGCATAATTTAACGAATTAAGACAGTGCTAAATTTTCTTGATAAATTTTATTAGGGGGGACAAAAATTTTCATGCAGGGTCTAATGGCACTAAATGACTAAAGTATTTCAATTTTGACAGCAGTTTCGACACTACGTCTATAGTGATGTAATCTCACGAATAAAATACAACCATTTATAGTACAGTCTGTTTCGTAACTTAGTCTAAGACTAGTGAAACACGTTCATAAGAATTGACGAGCAGGGCCGTAGCTAGACCGATAATTGGGGGGAGGGGGGGTGCATATTCATATATTCGTGTTCTGCCCGACATATTTCTTTTGAAAGCGATTGTTTTTACGGTATGTAAATATATGAATATACCCCCCCCCCCCACACACACACACACACACACAATTATCGCGTCTAGCTACGGTACCATGCATGCATGCATTGTGTTTAATCGATTACAAATATCTTCTATACCTATAGCAATCAGAAGTTGAGTAAAGGATGGGTACCTCACATTGTTTAGCTTGATCCTGGAGGAAAGGTGAGGTGAGGGTGTAGGCGTGCAGTATTCCACAATAAGCGGCGGTGATTGTGGTCGGAAAAGAAAAAAACACTTTTATTGAACCTGGAAGTTAGTGACTTACAGCCTTGCAGACGAACGACCTTAAATTCTCTCGAAACGTGGAAGTGTCTTCTTTTTCAGGGAGTGCAGACTCAAACCTAGTCTGTACGTCTATGTAGGTATGCGCAGGAGTGGCGTCGGAACATGGGGGCTAGGGGATTATAACCCTCCAGAAATAAAAGTAGGGGGGGTGCTAAGTCCTCCCAGAATCGATCAGAGTAAGACAGTAATATGAAGATTCCTGATCACTGCATAAAAGGCAAATTAGTGAACAAAATTACCAACATTGTGTTCTTCCCACATTATGACGTCATACTGTGTATCTAGCACATATCTAGCCTATATAACCACAGCTATAACTGAACAGACAACGGCAAAATCTTATCTATTTGTTAATTCCTTAATTTAGTGAATTTAAAGTACAAATTTCTGGCCTGAAGTTTTAAAAGGCGAAAACTTACACCATTCAGACAAAAAATGTTGACGGTATTTGACCGATTTAGTTAGAGTTATAAACCGAGAAGGAGGTTTATAATTGCAATTAGAGGTCAGTTCCAAATGACTGTTCTTCATTCATTACTGAGACAAACACATTAGTATAATTATGCAAACACAGTATAAGTTGTTATAGTTTTTTAATCTTAGATATTATAAAAGGTTCAGTTAACATTTATCTATAAATACATGTTCCTGTATTGCTTTGCTGCTCGGTGGACCAGGTTTTCTTCCATTTGTTAAATAAATATGGTCATTAGTAAACTACATGCTATAATCTTGTCTATACGATCATAAAAAAGTCCGGTTAACCTAGGAATACTAGCAATAGTTTACCAAAAATTGATGCTCCTGTATCAATTGCTTCCTGGTGGGCCAGGTTTTCCAGGTATTCCAGGTGTTGAGCCTGCAGAAAATTTAACAAACCACATCAAGTATAATACATAGGGGCTTATCACCCCCGGGATACCAGTCGATGCACCGGTAAGCCCTCGATCGTTTCTCTATACAATTGTGTAATTTGGTAAGAAATTGCATATATATATATATATATATATATATATATATATATATATATATATATATATATATATATATATATATATATATATATATATATATATCTCTCTCTCTCTATATATATATATATATATATATATATATATATATATATATATATATATATATATATATATATATATATATATATATATATATATATATATTGTCAACGATTTTATTTCGATTTTCGAAAACAACAGTCTGTCGGTCACTCCGAATATGTATAATGACAACTCTTACAGGTTTGTACTGAACTGACACCAAAATAAAAATAAATTATGTGACGATCCTATTCGTTTTATAGGCTATAAAGCCTGGGGGTACCAAATGGTCGTAACGGTCGTAACGATCAGCCGAAATACAACATTTTAGAACTGAAAATATGCGGAGTGAGTATAACTAGAGAATAATCATGATTTATATGTGGTTTACAGGTATAAACTATTGTAAACTGGCCGTTGAGAAAGATCGTGACTCTATTTTTACGACCATATGGAAACCAGACTTAATAGACAACAAAATGTATGCACTTCGCGAATAAAATGTAGATAGCATGGGCCTTGGAGAACGGTTCCCAAAGCAATGAGAAGAGAATGCACCCATATGATGAAACATGCATTAATTAGGATAACATTTACCTTTTGGGCGAAGTCCACAATCACATAGTGTAACTCCACATCCATTGCGACTACACGGAAGTTGTTTATTACAATCTATGAATTTAAAAAAAAGAAATTCCCATGAAGCATTACTTGATTAGTTCGCCATATTGGCAAATACATGCATGATCAGGTAATTAATAGTGCATTATTAAGTAATGAAGTCAATTTGACCCACGGTCTAGAAAGTTTGAATTCTGTTCAATGGATGATTCCCAGCTATAAACGGCTAAATTTTGATCTAGGCAAGAAGAACAAAATCCATCACCACATGTACAGCTAGAAAGAGCATCTTACTAAAATTAGTAAAATTGCAAAGTTTGATTGCGAAATGTTGTAAAATGAGGAAAATATAGCCCTACGAAATTTTCAAATTTTGTATTAATTTGTATTAATGTGGTGCATTTTCCCGCGCGTAATAGAAATTCATACAAAATTTGCAAATTTCGCAGGGCTATGTTTTCCGCATTTTACAACATTTCGCAACCATTTGCAATTTTACTAATTTTAGCATGCTCTTTCTAGCTGTGGTGTTGGATTTTGTTCTTCTTTCCTAGATCAAAATTTAGTCCATAGCTGGAATTACCTATTATTAAGGCAACGAATTTTTCGTTGTTCTTTGCAGTACCAGAATAATATGAAACTAGTTTTTCATATCTCTGAGGATTTCTCTGTAATTTAACTGTTCGTACACTAAGAAAGGATGAGTACGACATTTTCAACATACAAACTTAAACATTCGCATCATTTATTACTTTATTTATAGCAGCGAAAATACGTCGCAGCCCAATGGTTGGTTTAGACAAGTTTAATTAATTTATTTAGACTACGGCAGGGCATAACGTCACAGAACAAAGATATACAATAACAGAATGTCGACTCTAGTAACCACTTCCACGCCTCTCAAACGCGCACTGCCTAGGCCCTCTGGGCTAGGCCCATGGCGTCAGCATTTTGATGACGAATTGAAAGGAAAAACCACGAAGTCGGGCTTCTGTGTAGTCTGTTCTGTGATAACGTACGTATGCAGACAATTAACTTACAACGCGTCACTCGCGACTTGTTTTTGACAGTTTCGACTTAGTGGCTGTAGTTTTCTAATTCTTCCCCTGGATTTATTTTAGTCGCGGCTTGAAGCAAGTTAAATAAATATCTATTTACTAATGACTCGTAAACGATCAGGCCTATAGCCGCATGTCGTTGTGCTGATAGTGGCATTGGCGGGCCACGAGTGTGGGAATTATTAAAGAAGTATATACTGCTTTACTCACCTCTATTAGAAGGACAGCAGAGACCTTTTCTTAATTCTTCTTGCAATGAAATTTGATCAAACCGGACAACAGCTGAATGTATATCGTCATAACGTGCTACATAACTATTCTTTATTTTATTCAGGAAGATAATATATGGCTGACCATACGACACGTCTGACAAACATTGAGCGCCATCTCCAAACCTTTCAGCACATATATAGTTATGATCTCCTGGGTACAGACTACCTTTATAAATCTGAGTTACATGGAAGCATCGTCGTGAGCGAGGAGTTGTAGCCGATAAAATGTTAGCGAAACTTTGTACGAGATATGCCTTGATTACTAACGGTGCTTTACGTGCGCGTTCTTCAATGCTCAATGGTTTCCAGTTAGGAATGCCAGGAGGGCTGCATTGGAAACTACAGCTTACTAGACCAAGTAAACACAGACTAAACACAATTAGCTTCATTTTCTCGAAGTGTATAAATTTCCTTTTATAGAGTTTTTGACGAAATAATCTAGCTTTTCTTAATTATTGTTAACTTTAACCAGTGCTTGGATGTTGCGCACAATTCAATCAATTCTGAACTGAACAGACTAAGCTTGATCTCGCTTTAAATAAGTTTTTCGAAGGTCAATCATTTGAATTTGAACGAGTCACCGAAGTGCATGTGTGACGCACGTCTACACCCTAGCAGCATCGAGGAAATGCGTTGTATAATCTGGCTATTTTTTCAACTCCGCAAACCCGGAAATTTTCATTTTTTGCTTGACTCTTGTATGCATTTTGAATCCGATTATCCGAATATGCTTTTGGTGAAAATATTCATTGTTTTCAAATATTGTGCTTTTAAAATAACAGCGCCGATTGTCAGATAAACGGGATAAAAAATAATGAAGTATATAAAAAGGTTTGATGGAATTTGGAATATGTAGCCTATGTTCGATCAAGCGCACTTTCGGAAATCACGAAACAGACTTAAAAATTAGCATAAAGCACGTCGAAACATTATGCAAACATGTGTGACGCATATCTACACCTGCAAGTACAGAGGAAAGGCGTTGTATTCCGCATGTTTCTGGCTATTTTAACTCCGCAAACCCGGAATATGATAGCCTTGAAAATATACATTAATGCATGTGTGCACTATGTGTTTTTAAAAATGTTTCATTGTTGCTTTACTCTTGCGTGTATTTTGAATCCGATTATCCGAACATGCTTTTGGTGAAAATATTCGTTGATTTCAAATGTTGTGCTTATAAAATTACAGCGCCGATTGTATTATTTGTATAAACGGGATAAAAAAATAATGAAGTATATAAAAAGGTTTGATGTAATTTGGAAGATGTATGTTCAAGCGCGTTGTAGCTGCACTTCGGAAACAATAACCGAAACAGACCGGCTTAACAATTAGCATAAAGCACGTCGAAACATTATGCAAACATGTGTGACGCATATCTACACCTGCAAGTACAGAGGAAAGGCGTTGTATTCTCAGGTTTCTGGCTATTTTAACTCCGCAAACCCGGAATAGGATATATAGCCTTGTAAACATACATTAATGCATGTGTGCATGTGTTTTTAAAAATGTTTCATTGTTGCTTTACTCTTGCGTGTATTTTGAATCCGATTATACGAATGCGTTTTTGGCGTAAACATGTGTCGTTCTTATAAAATTAAAGCGCATTGTATAAACGGCATCTTAGTATATATGCCTCCTGCGAATGATATAAAAAGGTTTCCGTAATGGAATTTGGAAGATGTTCAAGCCACTTGTTCAAGCGCGTTGTAGCACTTGGAAACAATGACGAAACAGACCTAATTAGCATAAAGCACGTCGTACATTATTCAATAACAAACTTCTTACCAAAGTAACCTTCAGTAATGAAGTTCTGCCTTGCTTATAGCTAGATTACGAATAGCCTGTCAAATAGTTTAGTCTGTCGTACATCATGCATTTTAATTAAACACGAATGCACATCGCGTGTTTTTCGGACTGACCGCGTTGATATAAATGTATGGAGATTATGTATGCAAAGATATTGTGAATATAACTAATATATTAAACCCAGGGGCAAATATAGGACTATATCTCAAGTTCGCATTTGAAGTTCTTGGTTGTTGAAGAGGTTTTCGAAGAAGGTTTCGTCAATTTCAAAGACTTTCGATCAAGATTTTTCGAGTTTTGTAGACATTAATAATCTAATTATTTATTCACGGGTTATAACCTGTATACATCCCTCGGTACATCAAAGAAAACCGACTCAACTAGTAAATAATAGGCCATATAGTCGGGCACCCTGTGAGAGGCAGTGATATATAGGTTACGTTTACACTATACCGGATAACTTTCCGTGGCGGCGCGAAAAAGCACCTGTCCGATAGCAGAAATTTTTTTTGGGATCACTTTCTTTGGGAGCTTGGTAACCGCGCCTGTTATGATGCAATATAGGAAGCCTGTACAGCAGGAAATAGATTGCGGTCGAATACTTTGACGCAAACTTATATATTCTATATTTATTTACATAACCGCTGCGTTTTGACGCATTATTCATCGCGTCTTTCCGAAAGCTTTGTACCCATAAATAAAATTCACTAAAAAGAGAACACATTACAATTTTTTTATAAAATAGATCAAAATATACCATAAATATTGAGATATTGAATTTTTTTTTACTAATGCTAGTATATAAGGTCATAAGTTCGTGCGTAATGGTATTCGAAATATATTATTAATTCGCAGTTTATTTAACCACAGTTTATAGTCTATACTAAGATACAACCTTAATCTCTGAAACACAGGCAGAAGGCGTAAGTCTATAAACTGTGATTTAACTGATAGAAACGTTCACAATCAAATTGTGTGAGTCACAGATAGTCTCAGACTCAGTTGAAAACGTGTAAATATGCAAACCACACACTCTAATGCTTATATATAGGCGCACTGATGTCTTTATCATTGATTATCATGATTATCAAAATTCAAAGATCAAAATTTGCCTGCGCGCAATGCAAAATGTAAACAAGACACGATTATAGATTTTGCATTATAAACTGTGTAAGCTGAGGGTGATGCAGAAATTCAGTTGGAGTAACTTCTAATATATATATTTTATATTCGTACTTCAGCATTCAGTTTACTTCAGGCTATTATTACGTTCATAGTCAGTTTATTTACGGAAAATTTAAATATTTCCGCTAAAGGTTAATGATAATTAATTAATGGTATAATAGACTTTATAGAGTACCTGAATAACCTCAAGTTTACATCAAGTGTCCCAATAAATCCAAATATGTACCCTGAGTAAAAGTCGCGGTTACCAAGCCTCCCACGGAAAGTGATCCCAAAAAAAATTTCTGCCAAACGCCTTGCCACATTATGCCATGGTAACGAACATATTTTGCCTTAATCTTTTCACACATCGTGCGGGTCCTCATGTGATGGTTCCAAATATAAACCCACTGATGAAAGTGACTTACACAACCTCGTTCCCAGGGCTTTTCCCTTTTTTGTCATTGGGAAGGCGGGAAAAGGCCCTGGCACCGGCCGGTCACATGACTTTCAACACCCAGATATAGTGGGTGTAATAAATTATAATAATAATGAATTAGAAAATCCAAGATAGCCGCCAACCTAAGAGTGCCCACAAAATTTAAGTGCTTAGAGCGGCTTAAAAATGCGTTTAGTCTTTGAAATTTTTCCTTCTTTTTGCTACCGACGTACTCGAAATCAGATTCTTCAGCTTTTATTACATGGGAACTATGTAGTTGCTGTTCTTCCAACTGGGTTTGGTAAATATCGTTCGTTCGCTAAACAAAATTAACAGCCAAAATATAATAGTATTACGACAGATGTTCTCCAGCTGGACAGGCTTGCCTAAGAGGACATGGAAAGTGTTTTGAACTGGGGATGTTAAACTTGGTTTTACCCTTCCAAAGACTCTGCTGTGCGACGATTGGAGCGAGTTTATGAGGAATATTTTATATAGTGATTCAAAGAAATGTTTTTGCATATACTGTATATGTTATTGATCTATTGTTGAATGTCACTTATATTATAAAATGCCAATGGTTGGAATATTTATTCATTGATATTTTAAACACAGATGAAGTGTTATATGCTCTTTCTTTGTTTACGTTTTCCTTGCAGCCAAATGTTGTTGAACAGTTGAAGCTGGCAAGCTGCAAAACTGACATATGAATGATATGACCCAAATATTGGATATGCATCTTAGTTTACTTCCAGTAAAATGTAAACAAGACCTTAAGAATTCTATACGAGATAAGAAATATTCCGTTTAAAATCATGACTGGCAAATTAGCATGTGCGAATTGATGCTTCCTAATAATAGTATGTACTCCAGTAAAGCTTGCTTGCTTCAATTCTTGCTGTTACCATCTGCACATTATCAGGGTGGAGAGTTGATTTGAATTTTTTTGTCCCAGGGGATAAAAGTAGGGAATAGATTTTCCATAACAAAAGGGGCAAAGGTGCCCAACCAGTTAGAAGATGGCATGTACTTTAAGTGACCATTCATTATACCCTAGGGTGGGGTGGGAGATTCTTATGTCAAGATGTCATGGGACCCCTTTTTAATCTCTTAATTGAATAATGGAGAGCCCTTCTAAATATTTAAGACTACATAACATGATGCAATTCTAACCTTCATGTGAATGCCTGACTATGAAGAAAATACATTTTGCAACACAGGGATGGATCCAGCATGATCTGGTGGTGGGGAGGGGGGCTCTGGTGCCGAGTTCTGTCGGTCATGTGTGCTGCCCGCCCATCAACTTGCTTCACTACTGAAAAGTCTTGCTTTACTACGGTACTGTATTTGAATTGTAATTGTTGTTCACAGCTCGCTTATCATCATGTTATTACTCAAATTACTGTATCTCATTTTGCCTGTAATAATTTTTTGCTTTATCATGAAAAATAGCACCCCTCTG